TCCCAATGATACCTGGGAGAAAAACAGAGGTTACAGACGCAAGCAGATTAACACCACTCAAGACACTCCACGCCGCGAGAGTGACAGAAGCAGAGACTCAGAGCGATCTCACACCCAAAAAACACAAGATTCTAGTGACCATTATGTTTATTCCTACTATATAATGAGTATCATGATCTAAACTTTGCCCTACAAACAATATCAACACTTAATCATACAGACATTTACGAGATAGAAATCGCGAATATCAAAAAATACACAACAACATCGTATATTATAGGTATGTCTTTACCAGCATCATATTTGACAAAGATACCAGGAGAGCATGAACTCCCATCATACTATGAGAACACCAGTAGATGCAAATTCAAACTATGGCATACCCTTGTAGGAACACATAAAAGAGACTTTCCATTATCTAGGATTCACAAAAAAGAGTAGAACAGACTGGAAGCGTGGTGCTATTAAACACTCACGAACATATTAGCAACATAGATATGCCATGAAAGACATACAAACCAGTCCTGAGCACATTTGCAACTAAAACTCACCATATACTGCGAGTTTCCTACCTTTCCTGCTAAGTAGTGCAAAATAGCAACTCAATGGCTGGAAAAAACAACTTGAGTGAAACTTGACCCTCTTTGCCACACACAGCAGAGCAAGAAATAGATCCTTGCCCTGCTATCATCTAGTGGTCAGCTTTTGGGCCCTTGAATGGACTGGCCTGCCTGGACATGAGCAGAGAGGTCCGTAGTTGAATCATCTTCCCCCTTTGAGAGTTCAAGTGCCTCTCAGTATGGCTGAGCATGTTTGGATAAGGAGAAGCAAGAAAGGATAAATAATCTCATATTTCCCATGTTAGTGACAGAAGCTTCTGGCTTTAGTGATCTTGAACTTTTTTTCTAGGTAGGGTTTACACTGTGATTTTGCTTGCCTGATGTTCAAACACCTGGTACACAAACCATCAGAGGAGAGAGTAAGAGAAATAATTATCAATGCTGTTCGGATAGAACAGGTAAGTGGGTGATGAAATGGGTTACTCAGGCTTGCTAGAAAATGCCTGAGCTTTAGTTGTATTCAGAAGCTATATTTTGGTTCCTAGGAGTTCCTCACTGAGGCCTTGCCTGTGAAGCTAATTGGGATGAATTGCACTCTAATGAAGCAATACATTGAGTTTGTGGCAGACAGACTTATGCTGGAACTGGGTTTTAGCAAGGTAAAGTATTGTTTACATAGCCTTCTGCTTGTTTTGAAACTGGTGTTCTGTATTTATATCTTGATGTGAACCTTTTCAGGTTTTCAGAGTAGAGAACCCATTTGACTTTATGGAGAATATTTCACTGGAAGGAAAGACTAACTTCTTTGAGAAGAGAGTAGGCGAGTATCAGAGGATGGGAGTGATGTCAAGTCCAACAGAGAATTCTTTTACCTTGGATGCTGACTTCTAAATGAACTGAAGATATGCCCTTATTTTGCTGATTTTTTTTCCATCTCATAAAGAAAATCAGCTGAAGTGTTACCAACTAGCCACACCGTGAATTGTCCATAATGTTCATTAACAGCATCTTTAAAACTGTGTAGCTACCTCACAACCAGTCCTGTTTATTTATAGTGCTGGTAGTATCACCTTTTGCCAGCAGGCCTGGCTGGCTGTGACTTACCATAGCAGTGACAATGGCAGTCTTGGCTTTAAAGTAAAGGGTGACCCTTTAGTGAGCTTGGCACAGCAGGATTAAACAGTCTTTTAACCAGCACAGGCAATTGAAAGATGCAGCCTCACTGCTTCAACGCACATTTTAATGTTTACTTAAATATAAAACTGGCACTTTACAAACAAATAAACATTGTTTGTACTCACAAGGTAATAATAGCTTGATTTATTTGGTTTCTACACCAAATACAAAGCATTCTGACCACTAATGGGAGCCAATTCACAGTTCACTAAGTGACTAAAGTAAGTTAAACTTGTGTAGACTAAGCATGTAATTTCTAAGTTTTATTTTAATGGATTGAAATACTCGTTAACCAACTTTAAAGTCAGTCCCGTGTATAGCTAGATATTAGTCTGTTGGTGCCAGATAGAAGACAGGTTGTGTTTTTATCCTGTGGCTTGGGTAGTGTCCTGGGATTCTCTGCGCCATCTGAGTAGTGTTGTGGGTTAAAGGAATCTCTCAGGACAAGGAGCTTCTTAAGTTAAATCATTAGAAATTTAGGCATGATCTGGGCCTTCATATGTGTAATCTCAAAAAAAAAAAAAAAAAAAAGACATAGGTAAATATAGAATGATAATTAACTCACACAACCTACTTACAAACAAAACCTAGATAACAACACTTGTAGGACACCTCTAGTTGATTTCACCACTTAAACAGGGCGGAAAGATCATTTAGTGGGCGACTTGTTAAGGTGATCTATGAATTTTACAGTACTTACTTAGATCCCACATAGAAAACTCCTTCAGAATTTATTTATCAACTAGAAGTTGAACCAAACAGTGAGAAAGTAAATTGACAATGGCTTCTTACA